GGGAAAGCGGCCGGCGAGCTCCAGCTTGGAACGGGGCCTGGCACCGAGAGCCCCCCACCCACGCCGCCCTCCTCCTCCCTTCCTCCGGTCCTTACACAGTGACATGGCCCGAGCCGCGCACCACCACCGGGTCCGGCGAGTGCTTCAGCAGCTGCTCCTCCAAGGCCCGCTCCTCGTCCTCTTCTTCCTCGTAGATCTCGTCGAAGTCCGCCATGGCCGGGCCGACTCTTCCCGAGAGCGGCGAGGGAGGATGCCGGCCAAGCGGAGGGCCACTTCCTCTGCCCCACCACGACCGGAGCCGCCTCTCAGAGCCGCCGGCAGGAAGCGGCCGTCATAATCCCGGCCGGGGAAAGGGACGGACAGGAACAGCCACAATCACAACATCCGCTCCCCGGCGCCGCGGCAGCCACTGGCTGAGGAGCCGCAGGCGGAAAACCACGCCCCCCTCCCTCCGTCCACCGCTGGCGCATGCGCGACGCTTCTCCTCGGGTCGGTCCACCGACAGGGAAGGCGGAGGAAGGCAGCGCGAGAGCTGGGTCCCGGAGGGCGCATGCGCAGCTCTGTCGCGGGTGTGGAAGTGGCGCATCCGCGACTCTTAAGGGGAAGGTGGAGTATTCAGCTTGTGACTTTGGTTTGGGGGTGTTGTGGCGGCCTGTTGGCTCTCGAAACAGGAGTCCAGTGGCGACTTAAAGGCTCACCGCAATGAGTCAGGGCTGCATTCTTCAGACGCTTTTAGTTACAACTGAGTGGGGAGTCAGTTGTAGTTTATAGTACAGAGAAGGAGGAATACCCGTGTTTTAAACAAATCAATAGAAGTCACTTCCAAATCGCTAAATAAAAAATGGTGCGTTTACGGTGCAGTCCTATGCACAATTACTTCAATCGCTTGAGAGTGAAGTAACTGCATAGGATTGCAGCATTTCAGAGCCCAATTACAACCAGGTTTTCTGAAGGGTAAGTCCAAACAAGTTTGATAGGACTGCACTGCTTACAGTGCAATTCTAAACAGACTGAACAAGCATCTGCTTGCTATTTATTTATGTACATAATGTATGCCCTCCCTTTCTCACTGAGTCTCGAGATGGATTACGAAGCACAAGACAATTCAAATCAACAGGAGTCAGCTATTCGATCAGCAATACGATAGAGATTTGGATTGCAGAAATCTGAAAACAGCTTGAAACCAAGCTGAAACAAAACATAATAATTAGCCTGATGTTAAAAGGTACAGGAGTTAACATGGTAGTATCATAGAATCAACAGTATGATCTATACACAGCAGTAAAGCCCACGGTCCCCATCCAAAGCATTTTGCTGACATATTTAATTACAGCATAGGCCTATTACCTGGCTAAAACAGCTGGGTAGCCGTGTTGGTCTGAAGCAGCAGAACAACGTTTGAGTCCAGTGGCACCTTTACGACCACAAAGTTTTATTCAAGGTATAAGCTTACATGTGCATGCACACTTCTTCAGATGCATGCACACAAAAGCGTATACCTTGAATAAAACTGTTGGTCTTAAAGGTGCCACTGGACTCAAACTTTGTTCTCAGTTTTGTATAGTTTGCAGAAAGCCAGGAGGATAGGAGTCTGCCATTACACAATGGGTGGGCTGCAACAGAGAATGCACATGTTGAGTTTGGCCACTTTCAGGGTAGCACCTGCAGAAGACCCTGCTCAGATGAGCAAAGGTGTCATAGCAGAGCATAAGGGGAGAAGCAGTCCCAGACAAATCAGGGAACAAGGCCATGAAGGGCTTGGTATGTGACGGCCAATACCTTGAATTGAATTTGGTAACTAATGGGCAGCCAATGGAGTGACTGTAGAATGGGAGTAATACACATGCTCCACCTGTCTCCTGACAACTGAGCTGTAGTGCTCTGTATGGCAGACCCCTGCTTCTTCACTGTGAGGCAGATTTTCCCACCCAAATGCTGTTCCCCACTCTGACTGAGCAGCCTCTTTGTAGCTTATTTGAATTGTAGAATTATAACTTCTGTGTGTCCCACCCTGTGATAGAGAAGTTATTTGGCATTTGCCTAGGCCAGAGATGTTTTGTAACTAAGCAGGAGCCCTTTGGAAATGGCACGTGACACCAAGTAAAGTTCAAACCAAAAGGTTGATTTTATTGAACAGGCACAGTTGGGTTATAAATAGGGCAGAGGACGAGAAGTTGGTAATTTTGGTTGTTTATACAAATTATAATATTTTGAAGAGGCAACGAGAGTATAGTTGAAGCTTATTTTCTTAGAGACTCCGTTCTTAACTGTGAGATGTTTGTTTGTCTTGGGAGATTTCTTTCAGCAACAATGTGCTTTAATAAAGTTTCATATAACTATCTGAGTTTCCTGGAAGTTAGTACTTTCTTCCTGTATTTAAATACTTTCCTTGTGGGGTTACAACTTTCCCTTTTTACTTTTGAGGAGTCTGAGACCGTTTCTCTTTTCACACAAACCAGAGGTTGTTTCTGAGCTGAACCCTCTGAATAACTGGGTAAGAAATAGCATCCTCTTTCTAGGAGCAATAATACCTTTCTGTTTGGCTAGACTGGCAGTTTTCAACCTCCTTTTCCAGTCTCTTCTGTCAAACCTAAACCCCAGTTCTGGAAACTGAATAAACAGGATTCAGTTAGGGCTGACACTTAGACTTCTGATTTCTGAACTTTTCCTCAAATGGGATGGTACACAGCAAGGGCAAGGAACTGTGTCCCTTCACTTCCCAAGTGAACTTGTCTGTTTCCCTCAGACCCATCCATACACACACTCCTTCTGACTGGCTACTGCCAAGCCAATGTCCAAAGGAGAACTGACTCACTCTGACAAGACTGACAAGGCTTTTGAAATCGCTCCTCAGGGACACTGACCAATCAGAGAGGGGGAGGAGTGCACACAGGTGTCAGCCTGTCAATCAAACTGTGCTTTACAGTGAGGCATTCACCCCTAATCTCCCATTTCACTGCTTTCAATGCAATAAGCATCCTGGTTTTGGAGGTCAGTTAATCACACTCTGTACCAACTGAAGTCTCCAAGCTGACTGAGAGGAAGCCTATGTGGAGTGCACTGTAGTAGTCTAGTTACTGTGGAGTGGATCCAGGTGGCCAGATCAGCAACATCAAGGTGGAAGGCCCATTTAGGATTGCACTGTTAGAAAGAATTTTTAAGGCTACAGTCTTAAGCATACATGAGTGAAGCCGCAAAGCAGAATATAAAAGCAATCCTAAGTGGGTCTACTCAGACGTTCATTTCATGTTATTTAAATTCCCAGGAAAGTGCTGCAAAGATTGCAGCCCATGGCATTACTTACTACAGAGTGAATCTGCGTAGGCTAGGACATCGAGGCTACAGTTCTATTATTAGATAATTATACCATACTTTTCTCCCCAGCATTATTCTCCAGTACGCTGTCCTCTCAGCAACAACCCTGTGAGATAGGTTAGGCTGAGAGAGACTGGCCCAAGCTTACCCAGTACAGTTGCCTCCCACTATTACAGTTGATCTCCAGACAACCAAAATCAATCCGCCTGGAAAAAATGGCTGCTTTGAATGACATTATACCCTGCTGAGATCCCTCCCCTCCCCAAACCCCACACTCCCCAAGCTTGACCGCCAAAATCTTCAGGTATTTCCCGACCCAGAGCTGGCAACCCTGTCACCCAGTGATTTTCCATGGCAGAATGTGGATTTGGACCTAGGCATCCCAGGTCCAGTCCAGTATTCCAACCAATGCACCAGACATGCTTGCTTGGTTAAGTGAATTCAGTGGTCCTTACTTTTAAAAGAAGCATACATAGGATGAAACTTATTAGCACCAGGTGCAGTAGTCTTCTGTAGAGACATACCAAGAGGGAGGGTTCACATCCCACTGGGGGCCAGAGACAGATAGTGATAATGACCCTTCACACAACATGTTCCTATTGGTCTCTGTATGAGGACTGAACAGCATCAGCTTCATCTTCTGGGCGAGAAAGGGACTTTATTTGGGGGGCAACGTGAAGACCAGGATTTTTACTCTGCCGTTCTCTGTTGAGCAGAGCAGTCTTTTTAAAGATAATATCTGTCTGTTTCCCCCTCTCATATTTGAATGCTCTGCACACAAAAATAAATTTGTTAAGAGGATGTTTTTAGCTATCCTGCTTTAAGTCCTGAGCTCTTCTTCCTGGAGTGGGAGGCATCTCATCTGTATGGAGAGTCTTTTCCTTACAGTCACAGTTGCGGGGAAGGGGGGAGTTAGAGTTGGTGTTGATATCCTTGGCATAGATACAGTTATAATTCTAAGCTGACAAGTATTGTCGGTTTATTTTGTATTTGTCTGCTGGCTGTGTGTTTATGCAAGGTGCATCCTTTTTGTACAGATCTTCCCATCAAAGCCTCGACTTAAAATCTTGAATATTTACATGTCTCTAGGGTTGCCAACCTCCAGGTGGTAGGGTTGCCTGATTCCAGGTGGTGGTTGAAGATCTCCCACTATTACAGCTGGTCTCCAGGTGGCAGAGATCAGGTGACAGAGATCAGAGCCAATTTGGTGTAGTGGTTAAGTGCGGAGACTCTAATCTGGGGGAACCGGGCTTGATTCCCCACTCCTCCACTTGCACCTGCTGGATGATCTTGGGCAAGCCATAGTTCTGTCAGAGCTGTTCTTGAAAAAGAGCAGTTTCTGTCAGAGCTCTCTCAGCCCCCCCCCCCACCTCACAGGGTGTCTGTTGTGGGAAGGGGAAGGGAAAGGAGTTTGTAAGCTGCTCTGAGACTCTAAGTGAAGGGAGGGGGTATAAATCCAATCTCTTCTTCTTCTTCACCTGGAGAAAATGGAAGCTTTAGAAGGTGGATTCTATGTAGAGTTCCCAGACCCCCAAGTGGAGGTGGGGTCTCCCGCTGCCAGACCCTACCCCCAGCCACCAATCAGCTGGCTGGTGAGGGGGACATATAAGAAGAAAGGAGAAGGCCTAGACCTCATGGCCAGCATTGCACAGGAAGTGACATCATTATGCCAGTGATATCCGGGCAATGTTTTGGTATTGGGGCAAAAACTCTATGGTAGAAGCCAGTTTACGATAGAGTTTTTGCCCAAATACCAGAGCGTTGCCCAGATGTCACCAGCGTGATGATGCCACTTCCTGTGTGACACCGGCGATGAGGCCTAGGCCTTATCCTTTCTCCTTGTAAGTCCCCCCATCCCATGCTGGTTGCCAGGAGGGAAACTCTATGGCATTGTACCCTATTAAAGTCCCCCTCCTCCCCAAATCCCACCCTCCTCAGGCTCCACCCCCAAAATCTCCAGGTATTTCCCGACCTGGACCTGGCAACCCTACATGCCTCTAATCTTTGATGTGGCCTTATGCCGTGCATGTGATATGTAACCTGGCTTGGTCTTACATCCCTTTGAGGTAGTTGGTG